AATGCACCTCTATTTAATAGATGTCCAAATTTTTTTACAAACCTTTAACCGAAGATATCTTAGCACTCACTTAGCCAAATTTGATGAACTTTTTTTATTTTAACTGTAGAGATAGTAAAATTCGAATAAAAAAGTTATTCAAACTTGGTCATGTGGGTGTCAAGATATCTTCGATTAAAGTTTGAATGTATATGTAGTGATGACTAATGGTCTGAACTAAAAACTAATTAATCCAACTACTTCAATATTAATATTATCACACAAGCATCTCAAGATACCTAAAACCTTGATCTGGAAAATGAAAGAGGCATGGAAGGATTTGGTTTGAGGTATAGTTGTTAGATGAAACCTTTTTCGCATGATGATGAAAGATGAAACCCCAAATTCTTCTGACAAAAGACAATACTCTAGTGCTCCTGCCAAAAAAAAAAAATAGGTTTTTTAGTGAATGACATTCACAGAGATCAGTATCCGAAATTAAATTACATGTATACCAGCAAAAATAAACTAGTTCATTTTGAAATAACTTTGCAAAAAGTCATAGTACTTATGGAATAACACAGATAATAAATTAAAACATACTAGCACAAAATAAATTTGTGAGATCAAAAAGTAAGCACCAAGCAATTTCTCACCAAAACTTATATGTATAATATAATATTGAATACTCATTTTTATGTAACTTCCTTTAAACAATTTAAGTGCCTATTATACAATAAAATTTTTTGTAATTTTTATAAATTTTATTTTTTTATACATATAATTTTCAATAATTTTCAATATTTATTTGTATATTCATTCATCTTTTATTAGTTTTGCCTTTACAGTTTTGTCAGTTTTGACACCCTTTATAGTTTTGTCAGTTTTGTCACCTTTCGTTGGTTTCATCATTTTGGCATTAATTAACGAAAAACGAAACTAGGTTTTGTGTTTCATTAGCAGAAACCTCAAGGTTTTGTCTAACAACTATAGTCCAAGATTTAAGGTCTTCTGGGTCTTGTTACGGTGATACTGGAATTTAATAAGTATGAGTTTGAATTGTATTCTTACTAAGTAATTGTATGCTTCAGTTGGAAGCTAAAGATAACGCTTTTTCCCAAGTCTTGGTTCAACAGGATTCAAGATTCGATTCCAATCATTAAGGTTTTTAATGATTGTCACATGGATTATGTGGTTAAAGAATCACGATATCAATTTGTGTCCAATTTGAGATAACAAAGTTTAATCAATTGCATTTTGTTCTAAAAGGGGCTTGGATTATTAATCGATACTTCTCTTTCTTACTTTTATTTCAAGGTTAATAATACACATGGGAATGTTTCAAACAAAATGCTGATCTTAATAACCTGTTGGCAGAATTCTGGCTAGGATATTACATATTCACTTTTACAGTAATTATGGAGAAAAAAATTCAAATCAAGCAAAAATGCTCTTTAAAGAAGCTGCTGATGAGCATAATCATTCTAAATCACAATATAGATATGCAGTTTTATTGCTTAATGACCTTAGTAAAAAAAATAATGAAACTAAGAAAGATGAATTATACAACAATTCAATACAAAATATTGATGTGTTGTATTATTTGGGTGATATTTATATGGCTGAAAAGCTTAAAGTGAGAAAGATTAAAGAGCATAATTTTTGTTATGATCAGAAATTTCTTTAAGAACTCAATTGAGTTTTACTTTATTTTATAGATATCACTTTTATACTTTTTTATTTTATGTATATTAATTGAATTCTTTATTGTATAAAAAAAAAATAATATATAATAAATTAATTAAAAAAAAAAAAATTGGGGATGGAGAACATTCACATTTACTAAAAATTTTTATATTTGAATATAAAAGATAAATGAGCATTTATTGGTTGGTTATCCAGGTCACACTACGCAGAGATCAATGCTCAAGTGACCCATGTACCACACTTCAGTGGATTTGGAATTAAGGAAGTATGTAAAGAGAGGTGTATGTACAAGAAACTTGCCATTAGAAGAAAAATTTATGGGAAAAAGTGATCGATAACATCAGAAAGGTTGTATCTATCCGCCAAGAGGATCAACTCGTCAGAATCTGCAATCGCTCTCATTGTGGCATTGGAGAATGAAAGCATAGAAGGACCTACTACAATGCCAATAGTAGCATCTCCAGTTTGACGAGTATATCTTCGCACGACGGTCTGATGTGCATCGATGACCTCCCTATCTAAAAAAATTTAAATTTGATAAAAGAATTTAATTTATTATGCACTTATACACAGAACATGCACTTAAGGAGGTTTACTGTCTGTACGTAGTATTAAAACATTAATTAAATTACGTATTGAGCTTTGACGCCTCCAGTTCTTGCATTGAATCACGATAGTGACTCCGGCGATTCGGCACAAAACGTCTCTACCTCTGTCACCAGGCCCACTATAAAATAAATAATAATAGTGAATATTTGTGTCATCATCATTAACTAACGAAGATGCATGGCGCTTCAATGTCAGAGTATATCCTATTCACCAACTTCCCAGCAGAACACTTCCCAATATGTACAGAAAGTGCCTCTCTAACGCAGAGAGGGCCAATTTAGCTACAGGAACATCCATAACTGATAGAGAAGAACGTTAACTATCAAAATAGTCGCCACGATGAGCTTTCAATTCTCTATCAGATTTCATTACACAGACGTGGCAGCGTAATTTCAGATATACTATGACTCAACAAATAGTCAATGAGAAAAACTCACCCTGTGTGTACAAATTCCATATCTTCCCCTGTTAAAGCGGCGACTTCGCTGAAGCCCATGCTTCTCAATACCGTTATTACATCCCATTCAAGGATTCTTCCTAGAGTACTGGGATAATGCACTACTACAACACGGATAGCTTCTCTTTCTGTATTTGACATTTTTTGTAAAAAAAAAAAAAAATTCGGAAAATTTAAAAAAAAATTCAGAAAAATTTAAAAAAAAATTAAGTACTTTACAGGTCATATATACGTATCAAATTGATATCCCTTTTGCAAAAGCATTTCCTGCTGCATAACAAGACTTGATTCGGCACTAAAATAATCACACCGTAGTTGTTAGGTGAAGCAAATAACGAAAGACAAAACCTAAATTAAAAACCCTGGTGAAAAGCGACACATCTTATCGTCAATAGAATTCTCTATTAAATATTACTTATCTGTTCTTTCACTTGCGTGTTAAATTACCAGTTTGCAAGTATATAGTCTATTCATAAAATAATTATCGTCAATAGAATTCTCTATTAAATATTAATTCTCTGTTCTTTCACTTATGTGTTAAATTACCAGGGTGTAAGTATATAGATTATTCATAAAATAATGTACACATGTTATTGTCAATAGAATTCTCTATTAAATATTACTTCTCTGTTCTTTCAATTACATCGAAGCTGAAATAGAATGCTGATGAATGTCATCAAATAAAATAGGAGTTGAAACAAACAAGTATAGTGCATTCGATTTTTATCAAAAGTCGGGTAAATGTGGATGCTAAGATTAGATTTTGCTATGAGAATGGAATTGGAGCTGAAATAAATGAGCGTAAGACATCCAGTTATTATCAAAACTTACCAATAAATAATGATGGTAACGAGATCATCACATGTAAAATGAATAGTAGAAGGGAAAAGAAAAAGGTTAGAGTGTTGGTTAGCATTCGTATGAATCTTGTTTTTTCTTGTTCTAACCAGATTCTCATTAGTGTTTGAAATTAGTGTTCTCAGAACACTACTACATATAAATTCGTGCACAGTATAAATTTTTTACTGTTCACTATTAAGTATACGTATAATAAATAGCTGCAATTTGATGTATATGTATTATATTTAATTAGTACGTACCGGTACGTATTGGTATGTATAAATCGTATGTTTAGCACAAATTTTATGCTGAAAATTTATACATACTAATTTTTATCCTCAATAAATACAGTACGTATTGTTAGGTACTGTTTTTTGTGAAAATAAAATATTGGTTTGAGAACACCTATAGTTATTATACTGTTCTAGTATTGAGATTTGAAATTTCAAACACTTATTCTCATAGATCCTCTATGTAGTTGTGGTCTGGCCCAAAAAATTAAATGCCTGAAGTCTCCAACACTTATCCTCATAGATCCTCTAGTCGTGGTCTGGCCCAAAGAATTAAATGCCTGAAATGGATGATATTGAAATTTGGTGTCTTGGTTATCTGTTATGTTCCAATACTACGTACTCTACTTTCTAAAAAGTTGGGTCGGCAGGTAATGCAAAAAGAAAAATTAATTTTGTGGTCTTAGATTAAGATCGAAATTTCATCAAAATTAGATCTTGTGGCGCAGATATTCTGCACAAATCAGATTTCAGAATTTCGTACGTAAGAAATCATCATTGATCAGTGATGCTTTTTTCTTGAACAATTTTTACTTTACACGTATGCGTAAAATCTAACCCTAACTTTTTTTTTGCTTTTAAAATCATGGTTTATTGAAGTACATATACACTTTAAGGTATTATTTTGACAACATTAACTTATTATATATATAGTTCATACATATATACTTCAACTTCTATTAATGCTTATATAAAATATCTTAATCATGAGCGAATTCTTCAAGAACTTGTTCTGGAATTCGACGATGAGAACGATACTTCTTTACTGCATAGTCAGCAGCCTTTCCAGAAAGTCCAAGTTCATAAGCACTCATAAAGCGTTCAGAACAGCGAGCAAAGCGGCGAATATTTAATAAACCAACAGAATCTAATGCCTTTGGAACGGTTTTTTTGAGGCCCTTAAAACTATAATCACAGTGAATTCTTGCATAACGTTTCACCTCAGCCCAAACGGACTCGATGTAATTAAATTCACAATGGAACTTAGGGTAAAAGATGCACATGTGGCCGGCATCTTCAATTACCTAAATTATTATACATATGTAAGTAATGGTTTTTAAAAAATTTTCTTTTTTTTTTAAAAAAAAAACCTTATTTACCTCTCGTAAGCATGATCTTTAAGATGCAAAGTCAGGTTGAGCTGAAAGAATACGCGAAGCGCAACAGTTTGGATTGGTTGGATCAGGCTTATTTTTTTTACAAGTATCACACTTTTTTATAAGACCTGGTATCCATAAACCTCTTTCTTCAAGAACCCGTCTAATTCCCTTAGGCCTTAATACACCATTACTGTCTCTATAGGTCATTACATGCTCGGAACCATCGCGATATTTACCAGCACGAAGAAGTGGTTTTTTTGTACCATCTTTCATGCCCATTTGCGAGACCAAAAGAGCATCTTCGGCAAATGAACCATGGTTGCTGCTATTATCAAACATGAATAACGCTATCTTGTTGGGGTGCGTTCGTTCAAATATCGGTATGGCACATAAAACTACCTGATTAACTAAATCGTCGCATGTCCACCAACTATCACGATTTATGCCTGGATAGATGGCAATACCTGCTTCGGTATATTTGAGACGTATAGAATCAGGAAGTAAGTCATTTATAGCAATTTCATAGTCTGAAAGTTTGAGACGCCCAATAGTTTCACAGACAAAATCGCTAATGTGAATACTGGGGCCTGTGATTAAAGACAGGAATTAAAAATTAGTCAAAAAATGTTTTTACCTAACTTACTAAATATTAGAAATACCATAATGCACTGACCAAAAGACCCGGGTCTAATACAAAACACCCAACAAAAAACTTACAAAAGACCCGGATATATTATACAGCAGCAGGTCAATTTTGCAAGCCTATATTTAATTAATAGAGGTCTTGTGTTTTGCACCGGGTACTTTGCAAGGGGGATATTGAAAAAGAAGAATAGTTTGGTCAGTGCACTACAGTAATATCCTGGTCTATTGGGGATTAGCGGTAACGAAGATTCCGCTTATTCATTAATCCCGTGACATTACGTAATATTATTGCAGCGAATTTATGAAATACCCCAAAATTTGAAAAATTTGACTACTAAGATGCATATAAATATAGATTTTGGCTGGATTTAATATCACTACTATTAATATGATCTACTAATTTTCCAGGTGTCGCTATAACAACATGCAATCTTCTTAAAAGTTGTATCGCTTGTGTTATCATATCTAGACCTCCAATTATAATACATTCTTTTATATTTACGCCCTTGCTACGTAAGTGCTCTAAATTGATCAGCAATTTAGGTATTATTAATTATTTTTTAAAAAAGTTATGATTCTGGCTACGTAGTAATTTTTTGTCTATTTGATAGATAAGAAAATTTTCCTGGACTAAGGTGTGTCGTTATAATAAATTTACATGTCTAATAAGGGAGAGGAAGATGGGGAAAATGGGTTAGGCACATTATTAGTCTAGATCAAAGGTCCAAAAAAGATTTTTGGGGTCTTACCTACTATTGAACACGGAGATGAATTTGGAGTAAAATAGCAAAAAAAAAGTCGAACCAGGTAAACTAGAGCTCAGATCTCTACTTTTTTCAATTTTTTTTTATAAAAGGCTAAAGTTACTTCGACTAGTTGAAAATGCGATACTTCCAAGGAAAGTTGTATTTGGTATTGATTTATTAATATGTGAATTGGTAACTAATTCGTTATTTTGTTTTAGTTTCTTTAATTCATCCTCTCAACGCTGTTTTTGGTCTTGGAGATTTCTTTCGTTGTCTAACTTTTCTGGTAATGATTTGGTTTCTCCTAATTCTTCTTTGTCGTTTTTATTTTCTGTGTTTCTAATTTATCCTTTATCTCTGATTTGTTATTATCACTTTGCCTATTTTTATAGAACTCGACTCTAGTGTCACGAATATCGACTTCGAACAATTTGCCCAATTCATTTAGATCTTCTAATGAACAAGATTTACTTTTGGGAACAAAATACTCGGATTTGATGACCAAATTTTAGCTAAGTTTCATAAATTCACTGTAATGTTTTAATTATTAATAATTAAAAATTTTAGTTGGCTAATTAGCCGATTCTTACTTGTGATTTTCTCCGTAGGCCATATTCACCCTTCGGGCTCCAATATTGCTTCACACCATCATTCGCATAAAGAGTAGTCTCATCTTGGGTAACAGGAACGATTTCAAGCTCACCAGGATCAAGGTTTGGCGGGATACAGTTTAAATTTTTATCATAACTGGACATTCGTCTTCGTAACCTAGCCATTTCCTGCAAAAAATCATTTCTGTACTCCACTACATCTTCACGTTCATGACCGTCAAAATAAATCTTTTTCGTATGAGTTTGGTATCTCCATCCAAGCAATTTTAGCCATCTACACGCAGTTGACCTGCTAATAGTTTTGCTTATAACTCCAAAAGCGGGCATAATATGGCTAACATAACTCATAAAATTTGGAATGGATAATCTAAATTTATTTTCCTCCAAATATTGATTTATTTGACGTCGAAAATTTATATTATGTATCAACGATTTTGTTTTTATATGTTGACCGCGTTTTGACTTTATTAACTCTTTGTTATTTTTCCATTGATTTGCCCAGATACGAATACTCCGAGCATGCCATGGGCCTTTACCCAAACTCTTGGCTAGAATTTCACTTGCTTTCATCTTCGTATACCCTTGATTCACAAGATGAAGAAATTGTCTTGTTGTATTGAGATTTATATCGACAGTTTTTGTTTTCAATTCTGCGTCGAGTGATAATAATTTAGAATTATCATCATTGACACTACTGTCAAGAGTCTTATTCAATAAAGAAGATACTGTAGGCCGATTTTTGTTGATGGAATTAAGCGCTATAGGTTCGTGATTTTTGTTGGAAGCGGTATTGGTCACCGATTTATTTTTCCATTTTGCGGCAGCAGTTTGTCGAGATTGTCTTGTGCGTTTATTTGCCTTTGGCATTTTTATTTTATTTTATTTTTGGTATTTAATTTAAGGTATGTATACGAATCGAAAAAGTTAAAGAAAATGTTATTTAATCTAACACGTATTTATAATTGATATATTGTCTAGAGAATTAATCTCTGTTGGTGTTAATTATACGTATGTATGTACCAGTTCATATTTGAACGAAGCCAGTTTCAGGATACATACATGCATATTACATACCGTATTTTCGCGTAATAACGTCCATTTGAGTACGTAGACGTATTATTTCAAGTACGCACATGTGTGCTATTTTGAGTTAAGAGCTGATCATGATACGTACGTATTTTCATAATTGTTAATTTACATTGATCCAAACATTATTACGCGAAAATACGATACATATTGAGGTAATGGGCTTTGAAGGAATGTCAATGAATTAATTTTTTGAGTTCTATTCACATCGTGAATAGAGCTCCATTGGCTCCACTTGCAGCATCATTGGGTTCTATTGAAGCAGTGTTTCATTGAAGCAGTGTTGGACTATGATAAGACTATTATGGGTCGATATCATATGATTTTACGTACACGTACTAATTGAACTTAGTGATATGACCATTATTAAGTAATTTTTCTGTGAATTGAATACGTACGTATGTAGTGAGGTTTATTACGTACGTACAACACTAAAACAACTATTATTTATCCTAATTAATATTTTAGGTTGAAAAATCAACACAAACATGGGGCAACTCGACGATTGCAATTTATGGAATAACTAAGAACCCAAAAGATGATAATTACATGATGGTGATGGTGTATACAAAACAGGGAAGTCTCTAAAAATTGATAGATAGTAAATATGATGAATTAGATTGGGTTTCTAAAATAACTAATCTATATATATAACTGATGGGCTTAAGGCTAAAATTTAAGTGTGAATTTTTAGAAGTATGAACTTTATTTGCGATTATTAAATTGTACGTAGTAATCTTATTTATCCTAATTAATATTTTATGGTGAAAATCAACACATACAGGAGGCGACGCGATTTATGAAATAACCAAGAACCCAAAAGATGGTAATTACACAATGATTATGGAGTATGCGAAGCAGGGAAGTCTCTGAAAATTGATAGTAAATATGATGAATTAGGTTGGGTTTCTAAAATAGCTAACCGATTATTAAAGTGTACATACGTAGTAATCTTATTTATCCTAATTAATATTTTAGATTGAAGATTATCACAAACACGAGGGTGACTTAACATTTGCAATTTATGGAATAGCTAAGAATCCGAAAGATAGTAATTGCATGATGGTTATGGAGTATGCGGAGCAGTAAGTCTCTGAAAATTGGTAGATAGTAATTAGATTGGGCTTCTAACCTATATTATATAGCTGATAGGCTTAAGATAATTTATAAGCTAAAATTTATACGTAGTGAAATTTTATAAGTACGAACCTTAATTTGTGATTATTAATAATAATCTATATACATAGTTTTTTTTTTTCATAATTTTGCGGACATTCATGTCCGTATGGGCATGTGACCAGGGTTGGGTACATCTTTCAAATGTTCTTTTGACGAAGTGAAAAAAATTTTTTTTTTTAATCTAATTATTTATTTAATATTTTAGGTTGAAAATCAACACAAACATGGGGGTGACTC